GAACTCACAGAGATCCATATGCCTCTGTCCCCCCCCAAGTGCTGTGGGGAAAGGCATGTACCACCACGCACTCGGGTTTCTTTTTCTTTTGCAAAAAGAGCCGGGTGATGGTGGTGCACACCTTTAATCCCAATACTTGGGAGGTAGAGGCAGGTAGGTGGATCTCTGTAAGTTTGAAGCCAGCCTGGTCTACAACATTCCAGGGCAGCCAGGGCCACATAGAGAGACCCTTTCAAAGTCCTATCTGGCTGGGCAGTGGCAGCACATGCCTTTAGTCCTGGCACTGGGGAGCCAAAAGTAGGCAGATCTCTGAGTCAGGGCCAGCCTGGTCTACAGATTGAGTTCTGGGACAGCTGGAGAGTTCAGGGCTACATGGAGAAACTCTATCTTTAATGTTTCTTGTGTATTGGCTTGAAGATGGACAGATAGCTTTCTTTTGTGACAAGAAGTGAGCTAAGTTCTCAAATTCTACTTAATTCCTTTTTATTTTATTTCATATATTATTTTTTTAAAGATGGAATCTCTATTTGGCCCTGTTTGTCCTGGGTCTTTCTGTGCGTACCAGGCTGACTTTGAACTCAAACCCACCTGCCCCTCTGCCTGCGGAGTGCTGAGATCAAAGATACACACCACCATGCTAGACTCTTGTTTATTTTTGTGTAAAAGTCTTGCTATTTAGTCCTTTGCTGGCCTAGAACTATGTATCCCAAGCTGGCCAGGAACTCACTGTAATCTTGCTTTAGCCTTCCCAAGTGCTGGGATTGCTAGTACATACACAACAGCAGGCTCAACTTTTTTCTTGTTATTCTTGTCTTTTTTTTTTTTTTTTAAGATCTATTTGTTTATTATATGTTCAGTGCTCTGCTTGCATGTGTGCCTACACATCTGAAGAGGGTGCCAGATCTCACTATAGATGGTTGTCAGCACCTTGTGGGTGCTGGGAATTGAACTCATGACCTCTGGAAGAGCAGCCATGCTTTTAACCTCTGAGCTACCTCTCCAGCCTTTTCTTGTTATTTTTTTTGGGGGGGGGGTTTCGAGACAGGGTTTCTCTGTGTTTTTTCTTGTTATTCTTTTAGTTTTAAGACAAGGTCTCTCTATTCAGTCCTGACTGTCCTGGAACTTGGTGTGTACTGTAAGGAGAAGGCCCCTTGTTTGTCCCGGCCGCCGGCTGGCTTACATCTGAAATAACCACACAGAAACTGTATTAATTAAAACACTGCTTGGCCATTAGCTTTAACTTCTTATTTGCTAACTCTTACATATTAGTTTAACCCATCTCCATTAATCTGTGTATTGCCACATGGCAGTGGCTTACTGGAGATTCTAACTGGCATTCATCTCAGGTGGAGGATCCATGGCTTCTCTGACTCTGCCCTTCTCCCTCCCAGCATTCAGTTCTATTTTCTTCGTCTACCTAAGTTCCGCCCTATCAACTAGGCCAAGGCAGTTTCTTTATTCATTAACCAATGAAAGCAACACACAAACAGAAGGAACTCCTACACCAGGTATGTAGACCAGGCAGGCATTGAAAGCAGAGATCCTCCTGCATCTGTCTCCCCAGTGTTGAAAGACATGTGCCTTCCTAAGTGCCCCCCCCCCCGGCCCCCTTTTTCTTTTAGGACAGGTCTTACTGTGTAGCCCAGGCTGTCCTGGAACTTGCTATGTAGACCAGGCTGCCCTTGAATTCATGGAGATCCACCTGCCTCTCCCTCGCACCTCCCCAAGCTGGGATAAAGGCAGGGACTACTAAGCCTGGCTAGGCTCAGCTGTGTTGTTTGTGAAGCAAAGGTTTTGTGTTCTTTTGATGTGCTCTTGCTTTCTTCCATTTCCCTCTCCTCAAACCTCCCTGTTCCCTATCTTGGAATGTCTTAAATAAGTTCAGTTCTTTTACAATTTCACCAACAAACACTTCAGATCATATTTCTGCAATATGGTGGTGCAAGGCTGCAGTTCCATCATGTGGGAGGTGGATACAAGAGGATCCAGCTCAAGGTCCTCATTACCTACATATCAAATTGGAGACCAGTCTAGCTGCAGAAGACACTGCCTCTAAAACCAAAATGGGGGAGAAAGTATTTCTATAGATAAACAGTCTTCTTTCTTGGGAGTAGAATGTTGTAACAATCACAGTATTGTATCTACAAACTTAAAAATAGTTGTGGCTAGACATGCAATTCAGTGGAAAAACATTTGTTTATTGTGGCTGCATGTGTGTTAGGGTGTGTGTGCGCCACAGTGCATGTATGGGCGATCAAAAGACAACTTGTGAAAGGTGATTTCTTTTTTGCCATTATGGGGCTTTTAGCTGTGGAATTCAGGTTGTTAGGTGCTCTTCCCTCTAAGTTGCCTTCCTAGCCTTTAAGCCTTCCTAGCCTTATCCCCTGGTGCTGCAAAAGAACAAACAAGTTAATACACAATAATAAGAATTATTATTTAAATTTTCTCTTAAGGCTTCTATCTACATTTTAAAGTGATTATTATTACATTTATTTTTGTGTGGGAGGTTGTGGTGTGCTATGACACGCTTATGGAGGTCAGAGGAAACGATGCAGGTGCCTGTTCTCTCCTTCCACCATGTGCCCTGCGATCAGACTTAGGTGGCAGGCACCTTCACCCACTGACCCATCTTGATGGTTCAGCATCTAAACAAGTTTAGGTAAATATATCTCTAAAATCCTAATTTCAATAGCCTCCACTCCTTGTAGTAAGAGCCAGATGAGATATATTTGTAAGCTTTAAAAGTTGTATATTAATAGGTAGGTGTGATGGTATATGTACTTGTAGTCTCAGTCCGTACTCAGGAAGTGGAGGCAGGATGGTCAGGTGTTTACAACTAGTCATGCTATATGTTTGATCAGGAGTTAGAGGCTAGCTTTGGCTATGTGAGACCCTGTCTTTTTTGTTTGTTTTTCCAAGTCCTGGCTGTTCTAGAACTCACTTTATAAATCAGGTTGACCTCGAACTGACATCCCCCTGCGTCTGCTTCCCAAAAGCTGGGATTAAAGGCGTGCGCCACCACTCCTCGGTTTCCTGAAAATATTTTGAACAAATACTAGGAAAAATTTATGATGGACAGTAGTCTGCTCTGCTATTTGTATGAGACAGTCACATGGTTCAGGTTCTCCTTGAATTCACTGTGTAACCTACTATGACCTTGCCTCCATTTTCCAAGTGCTGGAATTACAGGCTAGTCCTGTTAGGTCTCCCAGGCAGGACCCACACTCACCCCCTAGTACTGGGAAATCGATTCAGATCTTCCACGTTCTAGCCAAGTATTCTTTCCTAGCCGGATGTTCTGGTCTTATCTATGGAGGTAAATCTTTTTATTGTTTTGTTTGGCCTTGGAGTTTACTGTGTAGCATACTCTGGCCTTGAGCTAGCAAGCTTTCTACTTTGATAATCCTGCTTCAGCCTCTTGACCGAGCTCCTTGGGTATATGTCTCTTGGACCCTCTCTCTTTCTGCCACGTATCACTGACATTTTCTCTGATGATTAAATGTATTAAGAACAGTTGCTTGTTGTAGTAGCACATGCCTTTAATTTCAGCACTTGAGAGGCAGAAACTGGTGGATATCTGAGTTGGAGGCCACCCTGGTCTAGAGTAAGTTTCAGGACAGCCAGAGTTACACAAAGAAACCCTGTTTCTAACTCCTTACCCCACCCCATCCCACCCCCCAAAAAGAAAAAAAGAACAGATATGTTTCCAATTGAAAATAGTAATGGTGGGCTGGTGAGATGGTTCAGTGGGTAAAGCTTTTGATAACCTGAGCTTGATCCATAGCATCCACATAAACGTGAAAGAGAACTCACTCCACCACATGTATATCATGGCTCGCATGACACACATACCAAACACATAATGATAAATTATGAAAAGAGAATATTGTTAAGTCTGGAGTGTAGCCCCAGCCAGTTGCATTAGTCTGAACTCCAAATCCCAGCATGTCTGGTCCTGACCCCTCCCTGGAGTCAGGACCACTCCCACAGGGTATTTTAAGTGGTCTCTGAGGAGAAATGCATGGTTCTGGGTTTGCATGTGCTCCCCACTGCAAATAAAACAATGGGCATTTTAATCTGGTTTGATCTGACCTAATTGGATTTCTTTACACCGACGGAGATGCCCCTTTTATTTTTTCTTAAATATGACCATGTGAGTTAGAAAGGGGAGATACAATAAGAATGGAATATGCAGTATGCGACCTTTAACCTCAACAGGCAGAGGTAGGCAGATCTCTGAGCTTGAGACCAGCATGGTCTACAAAGTGAGTTTTAGGACAGCCAAAGCTTCACAGAAAAACCTTGTCTTGAACAGAAAAGAATGGAATATGCATAAGGCCCTTGCTTAAAAATACTGCTAACTCAGCTGGTAAAATAGCCATGCAAACCTAAGCACTCGTTTAACCCTGGAAGCTGGTGCCTCACTTTTGTAATTATAGCAGGAAGGCTCAGGAACCAGGAAGTAAACATCATAGAGGCAGAAAAGAGACTGCCTCCAAAACAAACAAATAAAAGGACGGAAGGCAATAAATAACTAGTTTTTCAGAGTTGTCTTTGCTATCTACATGAATGATCAGGGCTTATTCACACAATAAATAAGTCAGTAGATTTGATTTTAAATGAGGTGGTTTTTTTAAAAAGCTATTCAGCCAGGCAGTGAGGATGCATGCACACCTTTAATATATTCGACCTTTAACCTCAGCAGGCAGAGGCAGGCGGATCTCTGAGTTCAAGGCCAGCCTGGTCTACAGAGAGAGTTTCAGGACAGGCTCCAAAGCTACACAGAAACCCTGACTCACCCCCCATCCCCCAAAACAAACAAAGTGCTATCTAAAAGAATTTGGTATTAGTGCAAGAGACAGTGAATAGTTCATGACCATGTTTAGTTTGGTTTGACTTAAACTGTGGTCTCCAAAGTGAGTTTGGTAGAGGTTTTGTGACTATGTTTATATGTGCTTAACATTTTTCTTTTCTTTTTTTCTTTTTTCTGTTTTTTGAAGCAGCAGCATCTGGAATCAAGAGAGCCACAGCTTCCGAGGTAAGTTTTTTTTTTTTTTAATTGATTCTTAGTTTACTAAAAGCATAATTCTGGCATAGGATAGCTGTCTAGGTATGTCCAAACTCTAACCCCACAACACACTGCTGTCACCTGCAGAGTTCATACTTGAGAACCATGTAGTTGAGTTACAAACTCACAGATATTCACCTGCCTCTGCCTCCAGAGTTCTGGGATTAAAGGTGCGTGCCACCACCCCCAGTTATAATATCTTATATTGATTGAGTATATCTTTTTTTTTTTTTGAGTTTTACTGGAATATTTATTTACTTAATTTTGAGGCAGGGTCTCGGTTAACCAAGTCTAGCCTTCCACTGTTCTTTGTTTAAGGCCTCTGAGTGAGGCTGTCTTTAAACTCCAGAGCCTCTGCCTCCCCCCACCTGAGTGTTGGTATTACAGGCATGTGCCATCACGCAGGGCTGCTCACCGACAGAGCAGGCACTCTCGCAGAGGAGCTGTATGCCTGATCCTTGTTTCTGGAGACAGTCTCACTCCGTACTCAGGCTAGTCTGGTATTGACTGTATAGCATGAGCTAACTCATAACATTGGGTAGTCCCCTGCCTCAGCCTCCCATATATTGGGATTGTGGCTATATTTATACCTGTCTTTCCTATGCAGAGAATTTTCAATTTGCTCTCCTTCCCCCACATGGAGGTTTCCTAGCCCCTCCCACCCTAGTTTTGTTTCACTCCTGTACTTGTGTCAGGGTTCAGAGTCTTGAACTGGCACCTTTTCCCTTAGATTTTGGGGTTTTCTTTTTTTTAGACTATCTTTCAAGTCTTTGAAAGATATACTGTATATACTTCTTATTGTTTTAGATATTATTTTAGACCTCATATAGCTTCAGACTCGCTATGTGACCAAGATTGGACTTGAACTTCTGGTCATCCCACCTCTGTCCTCCCAAGTACTGACTGGGTTTTTCACTACCATGATCACTTACCCTGCTCTTATATTAAGGGCCTTGATTATCGGGTTTTGAGGTTGTGGCATACTGTTTTCACTAGTCTTGTCCTCTGGTTTCCTAACTTGGTGGATATTAATGACATGAAACGTAACTTGGTGATTGTTGTACCAGCACGTAGACCCCTGGGAGTAGTTAGTTAGAGTCTGCTCTGGTGGCTTTGTTCCTTTTCTGGTTCTGGAGCTGTCATACAGAGTCTCATATACACCATAGTCGAAGGCTGATTAGACGGCCTCCTGTAAAACTTTTGTTTCCTTGTTTGTGTTGTGTTTGAGGTAGGGTTTCTCTGTGTAGCGCTGGCTATCCTGAAACTTACTCTGTAGACTAGGTTGACCTCGAATTCAGAGATCTGCCTCCCAAGTGCTGGTGTTAGTCTTGTGCCTACTTTTTTTTTATTATTAAGTTTTTTTAGATTTATGGATTTTACTTTGATTTGTATGAATGTTTTCCCACTTATGTGTACCACATGTGTGCCTGGTACCCATGGAGGACCAAAGAAAGTGTTGGGTTCCTCTGGACTGGAGTTACAAGTGGTTTTGAGTGGCCAGGTGGGTGCTGGGATTGAACCCAGTGTCCTCCGGAAGAGCAGCAGACATTCTTAACCCTGAACCTTTTCCCAACCTCCTGGTTTGTTTGGGGGACAGAGAGTGGGATGGTTGTTTATTTTACTTGTATAAATGCTTTCCTAGCATTTATGTATATGCTCTTGTGCATGCCTGGTGCCCAAAGAGATCAGAAGAGGACTTCAGATCCCCTGGTGCAGGAGTTAAGGGGCTTGTAAGCCTGGGGCCTCTCTAAGAGCAACAAGTGTCCTTAACTACTGAGCCATGTTTCCAGACTCATTATTTTTATATACTATCACTTTAACTGTTTATCATATTATGTGGGAATGAGAAACTATTGTCTTTTTGGGCTTTGGAGACCGCCACAACTATGTACCACAGGTTAACATTTAGCTCACTGTGTAGCCTAAGATAGCCTTGCACTAACAAGTTAACTCATCCTTCCAAATGCTGGGGTTATAAGTGTATACCACTACTTGGCCATATGGTAATTTTGATTCTTTCTGTTTAGGGACCTTATGCCTCTGTCATGCCTGTCAAGAAAATAGGCCACCGAGGTGTTGATTCTTCTGGAGAGACTACATATAAAAAGGTAAGTCTGGACAGACTAGATGGAATGCCTTACTTTGATAACACACCAGGAGCAGTACTGTTACCATGTTGGTTTTTGTTATAGTTTGCTCTTTTTGAGATGGTGTCTCATTCTAACACTTGGTGGCCTGGAACTCACTTTGTTGTTGAGGCTGACCTTGAACTCCTGGTAGTCTTAGCCTCTCAAGTGCTTAGATTATAGGTGTGAGCCACCAGGTCTGGCCAGTACTGTTCTTTTTTGTTTGTTTTGTTTTGGTTTTTCAAGACAGGGTTTCTCTGTAGCTTTGGAGCCTGTCCTGGAACTCACAGAGCTCTGCCTGCCTCTGCCTCCCAAGTGCAGAGGTTTGCACTGCCTGGCATGGCTAGTGCTGTTCTTGATACTGCTCTCTACAAACCACTCCATTTGGTTTTCCTTGTTATTTATTTATTTGGTTTGTGGTTTGGTTTTGTTTTATTTGAGACAAGGTCTCTCTGTTTAGCCTTGGCTGGCCTGGAATTCACTGTGTAGACCAGGCTATCCTGGAATTTACTCTGTAAACCAGACTGACCTTCCTCTGCCTCCTGAATGCTGGGGCTTAAGGAATGTACCACCACTGCCTGGCTGAATTTATTATTATTTTTAGTATTATGCATGTTTTGTCTTCATGTATGTCTGTGTACCACCACATGCCTGGTGCCCAAAGAAGCCAGAGAGGGTGTTTGGGTCCCCTCAAACTGGAGTTACATAGCCGGGCGATGGTGGCGCACGCCTTTAATCCCAGCACTCAGGAGGCAGAGGCAGGCGGATCTCTGTGAGTTCGAGACCAGCCTGGTCTACAGACCTAGTTCCAGGACAGGCTCCAAAGCCACAGAGAAACCCTGTCTCGAAAAACAAACAAACAAAAAAAAAAAAAATCGAAAAAAAAACTGGAATTACATAACAGTTGCAATTGTGAGTCACTATGTGGTTGCTTGTGCCCTCTGGAAGAGCAGCCAGTGCTCTTAACTGCTGAGATATTGCTTTTTTGATTCTAATTAATTTGAAATTTTAGTCTCAAGATGCCTGGTATTACCAAGCAAGTTTGTGCATTCTTTCTTTTAGGTTTTTTGAGACAGGGTTTCTCTGTAGCTTTGGAGTCTGTCCTGGAACTAGCTCTTGTAGACCAGGCTGGCCTTGAACTCACAGTGATCCACCTATCTCTGCCTCTCGAGTGCTGGAATTAAAAGCATGCACCACCATTGCCCGGCTCCGCAAGTTTGTACATTCTAACAATGGTGATTTGCGAAGTGACTAGAAACCAGTCTCCAGTATCCTCAGTCCCACAGTATTGGATCCCTTCTGACCAGGGTACTGCTTGCATGTGGTGCATAGACATACATTCAGGCAAAACACCCATACACAAGTTAAATTTTTCATGTGTGATGGTTTTGTGTGTGTGTGTCTGTCTGTCTGTGTGTCTTGGCTGACCTGAAACTCTTATGTAGACCACCCTGGCCTTCCAGTGCCCAGAGATCCATCTGCTTCTGCCTCTCAAGTGTTGGAATTAAAGATATACACTACTATTCCTGGCTGTGTTTTCTTTTTTAATAAGAGGGTTTTCATGGCTGCCTTTAATCCCAGCACTCAGAAGGCAGGCAGATTTCTGTGAGTTTGAGCCCAGCCTGGGCTATAGAGTGCGTTCTAGTAATCAGGGCTACACAGAGAAACCCTGTTTCACAAAACAAAGCAAAAGGTTTTTTGTGTGTTTTCACTACTTTAGTGTTCTTGTCCTTCTTTCAGAGGACCAAAGCTTCTCTAAGTATGCAGTCAAATCAGAATCTGTTAATTTTCGTTACATTCTTTATTAGATGACTAAAATGTTTGGAGGGGCCCAATACAAAATAAAAAGGCAGATAGTAGTAATATGAAGCTTTTCCCTAACTGAGGCCGGCACAGGTGGTCCTCCCTGGCTACTCTGGATCTTTACTGTTCCTAATCATTTCTAGGTGTAACTGCCAAGTGGAGGGCTGGGGTAGCCTAAATTCTATCTAAACTATTGGTGGAAGGGCCTTTGCTTTCAAGTGTTTTTTCTTACATTTCCATCATGAGTTTTGTGGGTTTGGTTGATTGGTTTAGTTTCTTAAGATCAGGTATAGCTCAAGCTGATCTAAATTTGTTTCTTGTCTTAACCACTTAAGTGGTAGAATTCCAGATATGTTCCTCCATGCCCAGATGTTTCCCTGGTCATTTTTGGTATGGTTAGGCTTTTGTTTGTTTGTTTTTCTTTTAGGGGATTCAGAGTTGAAATACAGGGTCTTTGGCCTTGAACTTAAGATACTTCTTCTCTGTTCTGGGATTATAGGCTTGTGCCACCATGCCCAGACTTTGGGTAGACTTGATATTACAACATTTTCTGTAATTTCTTTACTGTTTGTTAGACAACTTCATCAGCCTTGAAAGGTGCCATCCAATTAGGCATCACCCACACTGTGGGCAGCCTGAGTACCAAACCAGAGCGAGATGTCCTCATGCAAGACTTCTACGTGGTGGAGAGTATCTTCTTTCCCAGGTACAGAGGTCAATACACAGTAGGACTTTCTTCAAATCAACCTCGGTAATTTTAAGGGGTCTAATGTGTTTGTCAGTCCTTAACCTTGTTATAAATAGGGTAAATGGGACCAGACAGTTTAGAGAGCAGACTTTGCTGTACCTCTGGTCAATGGGATGTCTTACATTAAAAAAAAAAAAAAAAAAAAGGGCTTAAGAGATTGCTCAGAGGTTAAAAGCTCCGGCTGCTCTTCCAGTAGCCTTGAGTTCAATTTCCCAGCACCCACATGGTGGCTCACAACCATCTATAATGGGCTTGGTGCCCTCTTCTTGTGTTTAGGCATATATGCCAGAATATTGTATACATAAATAAATAAATCTTTAAAAACAAAAACCATAGTAAGGCTGGTGAGATGGCTCAGCAGGTGAAGGTAAAGCCTGACGACCTGAGTTTGCTTCCCAGGGCTCACATGATGGGGATAATTGCATCCTGTGGGTTTTACTCTGACTTAACACATGTACCGAAGCATGTATGCATCGCGTGTGCACACACACACACTCTGAATAAATGTAATCTAATAAGTTTTCAGAGCTGGATAGATGACTCCGTGATTTAGAACACTTGCTGCTTTTTCAAAAGACCTAGGTTCATTTCCTGGCACCCACATTTTGGCTCACAAATCATTTGTAACTCCAGTTCCAAAGGATCTGACACTTCTGGCCTCCAAAACCACCAGGCAGGTTTATGGTGCACAGCGTGCATGTAGGCAAAACATTCATACACACAGAATTAGTTGTGTTTGGTGGTCCCATTTGTGAGGCGGAAACCAAATTGATCTCTGTTAGTTTGAGGCCAGCCTAACTATGGATACATAGTGAGACCCTGTCTCAACAACAACAACAACAAAAAAAAAAAAACAAACAAAACAAAACAAAAAAACCCAAATAATGTAAGTAGTCCTATGACTTATTCTCTTTTTTACCTTTGTCCCATAAATTAATTCATCTTCATCCCCCTTGTGTCTCTGAGAAGTATTGTTGGGCATCCCTTTCAGCATCTGCCCAGGGTAAGTTTCATGGGTATTGGTGTCTGGCAAGTAAAGATTTCTTTATATTCAACCTCACAGTGAAGGGAGCAACTTGACACCGGCTCATCATTACAATGACTTCCGTTTCAAGACCTATGCACCTGTTGCCTTCCGTTACTTTAGAGAGCTGTTTGGCATCCGGCCTGATGATTACTTGGTAAGTTTCTAGTCACAAACCCTGTGATTCTAAGATCCAGGGAATATGGCAAGAGGAATTTCCCTCTTCCACCATCTTGCTTTAGTGTTCTTTTGAATGAATGTTTATCTGTACCTAAGTTCTGTGGTGGGCAGGGCCTGGCTTATCTGGCCCTTAATGTCTTCTTTTATTTTCAGTACTCCCTTTGCAGTGAGCCATTGATTGAACTCTCCAACTCTGGAGCTAGTGGTTCCCTCTTCTATGTGTCCAGTGATGATGAATTCATCATTAAGACAGTCCAGCATAAAGAAGCAGAATTTCTGCAGAAGTTGCTTCCCGGATACTATATGGTGAGTGGGGAGCACTGGAGAGGCTATCCTCAGCAGTACCACTGAGGGTCCTTAATGTCAGGGTCTGATCTTACTTAGAGATAAAAGTCAAGACAGACTTTTTTTTCCTCTTGGGTGCTTTTGTTTTTTTGAGATAGTATCTTTCATGCTGGCCATGATCATTCAGCTTCTGCTTCCCAAGTACTGGAATTATGTGTGTGTTGCCACCAGCTAGGTTTAAGTGGTGTTGAGCATTGAACCCTAGGCTTTGTGAATGCTAAGGTAGCAAGCACTCTGGTGTTTTGTTTGTTTTGAGACTAAATCTTCTTGTGTAGCCCAAAGCCGTTTTTGGGTTCCTGAATCTCCCGCTGCCCTCTGTGGAATCAGGATTATAGGCAACCACCACCTTGCCTGGCTTAATACTATTCTCTCTTTAAACTCTCTTAGATGCCAGGAGAGATTCTGAATGAATATGCAGGTCAGCACATTTTACCTAAATCCCTTGCAGAGCAAAGGAGCAGTAGGTAGCAGCTTTCGCCTTAACTTTCATGAGAATCAGCTAACTTGCTCTACCGTTTCTTCCTTTTTTGCCTTAGAATCTTAACCAAAACCCTCGAACTTTGCTGCCTAAATTCTATGGACTATACTGTGTGCAAGCAGGCGGCAAGAACATACGAATTGTGGTGATGAACAATCTCTTACCTCGGTCAGTCAGAATGCATATGAAATATGACCTGAAGGGTTCAACTTATAAACGGCGGGCTTCTCAGAAAGAACGAGAGAAGCCTCTTCCCACTTTTAAAGACCTGGACTTCCTACAAGATATCCCTGATGGTCTTTTTTTAGATGCTGACATGTACAATGCTCTGTGTAAGACTCTGCAGCGTGACTGTTTGGTAAGTTGCTATATTTTTCTCTATTTCAGACACAGAAATCATTGAAAAACCTTGCTGGGTGATGGTGTCGTACCCTTTTAATCCCAGCACTTGGGAGGCAGAGGCAGGTGCAGGAGGATCTCTTGTGAGTCAGTTTGAGGCCAGCCTGGTCTACAAAGGTAGACAGCCAGGACTATTACACAGAGAAACCTTGTCTTGAAAAACTGGGGGGAAAAAAAGAAACATACACACAAAACCCAAAGAAAAACCTCAGTGATTCTTTGCATTTAGTCTATGGGAGGTGGAACTCTGATCATTTGCTCTCTGTGTTCTGGGCTGCTTTTTATTATTTTGTTTTTTATTCTGGGGAATGTATATGTGTGTGTGCTGGATGCAGTTGTACTTTACCTTGTGAAGCACAGGCTCTGTCACTTATGTAAAGGTATATGCTTGCTTGTGTGTGGACTTGTAGAGGCCAGAGGTCAGCAGTGGGAGTCTTCCTTGATGTCACTTTCTTTCTCTCACTGAACCGGAACTTACCATTTCAGCTAATGTGGCTGACCAACTAACCACTGAGATCTGCCTGTGCCTTCCCTCACAGTACTGGGGTCATTACATGTGTGCTCTCTCGTGCCTTTCTGTGGGTGCTGGGGACCCAGACTCAACTCCACATGTTTGTTCAATGAGCACTTTTCCCACTGAGCCTTTCCCCACCCCCAGATGGCATTTTAGATTACTTTTACATTAGCTCAATGCTGGACCTTTCCATTACCTTTGTTATTTACCCTCTCCACCTGGGCTCTGTGTGTGTGTGTGTGTGTGTGTGTGTAGTTCCTTGTTGAAATAGCCTAGCATTCGTAGGAAAACTTTTAACTTAGTTGTACTACAGAGTCATTATTCTTTAAATTTTGGTCTTGCATGCCAAATCCAAATTTATATCTCAGAAATTTGAATGCTGTTATCACTACACAGCTGTACACTGGCTCTGCTGATTTGTAATGTTTCCTAAATAAGCGGTTCTCAACCCTCCTAACGATTTGACCTTTTAATACATTTCCTCATGTTGTGGTAACTGCAACTATAAAATTTTTTATTCCTAACTGTAATTTTGCTACTGTTATGAATCATAATGTAAATATCTGTGTTTTCCCATGGTCTTAGGCGACCCCTGTGAAAGGGCTGTTCAACCTCCTAAAGGGGTCGTGACCCACAGGTTGAGAACCACTTGTCTAGACCATCAGCATTACTTATTCTGTCTCCTGTTCTTCCCAGCAGGCATTTCATTGCCTCTAACCTCCAGCTGATCCTCCTGACTCTGTTTCCCTAGTTTGGGAATTAAAAGTAAAAGACATTATGCCTAGCTGTCTAAACCTCTCTCCCTCTCTCTTTTGTTTTTTTGAGACAGGGCTTTTCCATGTATCCCTGACTGTCCTGGAACTCACTGTGTACACTAGGGTAGCCTCAAACTCAGGCCTGTTGATACTGGGACTAAATGTGTGTGTGCCACTATCGCCTGTCCCTAAACCATACTCTTAGCCTCCATCTCTCCAGCTTGTTTCTCAGCAGATGACTGGGGCGGTCCATCCTGTTCTACCTCTTCATGTTGCCACGTCCGTGCCCTTATTTGCTCACTCTGTGCTACCTCCTCTATGATGCTCATTTTAGTTTGTTTCCTTCAGTCTCAAAGGCTAGAGACTGCTCAACTAAATGAGTCGATAGCTGTTATAACTTACTCAGACAGTTGTAGCCACCACTCCTCATCCATCTTCTTTCTTCTTATCAATGGCACCCTTGGTTGAACAGCACTGTCAGAGTAAGCCATGGGAGCCAATGTCAGCCTGTGCTAGGGAACAGAACATGTTAACAGACTGACAGATGCCATCCAGGTCCTTGGTGTGATGCATCATGCCTGTCATTGTCAGCCTCTTTCATTGGCCACACCAGCGTGTGCATTTTATCTCAGTGGTATCAGGTTGTACCTCCTTGTGCAGGAGGTGTACTTCTTACTCTAGACTTTTATAGTGGTTTTTCTTACTTTATCTACTTGGTCTTGTTTTTAAGACAGGATTTCTCTTTAGCTCTGTGTAGCTTGGCTGTCCTGGAACTTGCTATGTAGACCAGCCTGGCCTCGAACTTACTCAGATTCTTCCACCTCTGCCTCCCAAGTGCTGGGATAAAAGATGTGTGCCGCCGCCACCTGGCTCAGTGATTTTTGTTTAACCTCCTCTGTGGTCTTCTACCATGTAAACATTTGTACCGTGTTGCTGTATTGCGCTTATTTTTAATATTTATATTCAGTAAATGTTGAGCTGAATTGAAGCTGATTGTATTAAGTCCCTCTACAGATCTGCTCTCACCCAGGTCTGTCATGTAGTGTACTCTTTCCCCCTTGGTTTTTTGAGATTGGGTCTTAGGTAGCCCAAGCTATCTTTGTCTTTCCTATATAGCTATGGATGACCTTGAATTCCTTGTCCTATCTCCCAAGTTCTGAGTTTGCAGGCTTAGGCAGTACTAGGAGCTGGACTTAGATAAGATGCCTACCTGTTGTTACAAATTCCTTACAGTAGAGATACATAGTCCTTGTTCATGGAAAAAGAGAATGTTCTTTGCATAAATGACAAAATGAACTAAAAAAAAAAGTTGCACTGGGTACTTACTCTCTGTGGTGGCTTGGGCCTTAATTCCAATTATGGGGAACTTGGTGAGACCATAACTCAAAAATTAAAGGGTTAAGGGAGGCTGGAGATGTAGTTTAGTGATATATGCCAGAGGCATGTAATCAATTTCTAGTACTGCAGAAAATTGTTATTACTATTCAGTAGTTAATATTACTCAAATGGGAGAAAGGTAAGAAGGAGTGTAACTAAAGACCTACCAGAGTGATACATTCTTTAAGAGCAAAGACTGAGCCTATGGTTATCTCCCTTGTCAAGTTTAGTTAGGTTTTGAAAGTGGTGAGAGCTTGAAGAGTCCTGATCCCTCATGATCATGCTGTCCTCTCTCACCATTAGGTGCTACAGAGCTTCAAGATAATGGACTATAGCCTCCTGATGTCAATCCACAATATGGATCATGCCCAGCGAGAGCCCATAAACAATGAAGCACAACACTCAGTTGACACTCGCAGGCCAGCCCCGCAGAAGGCTCTCTATTCCACAGCTATGGAATCCATCCAGGGCGAGGCTCGACGGGGTGGTACCGTGGAGACCGAGGACCAGTGAGTGGGCTTGGGAGAAGCACCTTTCACACATATCCTCACAGTACTTTTTCTCGAAGGCACCTTCATCTGGAGAAGAGCAGCTTTGATCCCTCAGTGAGGCCAGCAGCATTAATGCTCGTGGGGCCATTGACCCTTCTTTTATAAGGATACAAGAGGGAGAAAATAAAAGAATATGAGGAAAGGAAAATGTCTGAATTTGCAGTTCATATGAGAAAGAGTTGCCTAAGATTAAAATGCCTGCCCTTAGAAGCCGAGGTGCACATTAGGATTTCTGTATAGCTCTGGCTGTCCTGGAATTACCTCTGTAGACCAGTCTGCCCAAACTCAGAGATCCCCTTACTTCTTCTGGATTTAAAGGTGTTCCCTACTACCACCCAGCTCACATAGAACTTTGGTTTTTTGTTTTTTTTTTTTTTTTGAGACATTTTCTCTGTGTAACAGACCCTGGCTATCCTGGAACTCACAGAGCTCTGCCTCCTTGAGTGCTGGGGATTAAAGACGTGCACCACCACAGGCTGGCTCACATTAGAACTTTGATCACAGCTTCCTGTAGGCTTCTTTGCGGAAGGCCTGGTACTGCCTTGGGTTTATAAAATAACTATGGTTATGAAAATTTTCAGATGTTTCATTTTTTTAGATGTCTTATAACATGACTGCCACGAAAAGTATCCCAGTGGGAACAACTTAGATAGAAAAGGACCAGCATGTTTGTTTTTATTTGGGGACTAGTTCCAAAATTGCTGAGTAGTCGTGGTTTCCGTCTCTTTGGAGCTATGTGAAAGAAATGGAAGGAGATAATCACACATGATTCAGAGGGGCTTAGTGTGGAGATGTGTCAGTTATATATAGTTCCTAGTTCCATGTCCAGGTTTGTCTGGAGGTTAGGAGGAGCCTCTAGCTGCTACTGAACAGACTTTTCTAACTCTTATCCTTTTGCTTTCCCCAGCATGGGTGGCATCCCTGCCCGGAATAACAAAGGGGAAAGGCTCCTGCTTTATATTGGCATCATTGATATTCTGCAGTCCTACAGGTGAGGGGCGTGTGTATCACAGATTGAGGAGAGGACACATTGAGATGTGGCCACTCAAGGTTCTTTATTTATTTATTTTCCTTTGGTTATTTTAAGACAAGGCTGGCCTTGAGCTCAGAGAGATCCACCTGTCTCTGCCTCCTGAGTGCTGAGATTGAAAGTGTGTACCACTGCCACCCCACCTTCTTCTTTTTTTTTTTTTTAATTTCCCTTTCCTATTTTATAAATGTGTTTTACCTTGGTCTATGTATGTGTACCCCTTGAATGTCTGGTACCCATGGAGGTCAGAGGAGGGTAAGTCACCATGTAGGTGTTGGGAACTGAACCCAAAAAATCCTCTGCAAAAGCAACAAGTGCTTTTAACTGCTGAGCCATATGTCCACTCCCCAGCATACTTTTAGATATGTGTGTTTTTTCTTTTTTCTCTTGAGACAGTGTTTGTGTAGCCTGAGCTGTCCTAGAATTCCCTCTTTAAACCAGCTGGCCTCAGACTCAGAGATCTGCCTGCTTCTGCCTCCCAAGTGTTGGAATTAAAGGCCTGTGCCACTTCTGCCTGCTTTAGATGTGTTCTATCTAATGCAAGAACAGTAAGTCACAGGCCGGTTACCTTTAGGTTTTAGGCACTTTATTCCCTGGCTTTTCTGGCTTACCGTCTCTTCAACATGATACATACTTTCTGTGGATACTGAGTCAGTCCTCAGACGCATAGGGCAGAGCACTCCATCTGCCCTGACTCTCTGTGAGAAACCTGGGGGTTGAGTCATCCTCCATACAGGGAGACAGCTGGGAGCATGTTCTCATTTCCACAAGGGGAAGATAGGGTTTCTGTATCTACAAGCCTGTGACAGTGGAGTGGGGATGAGGGAGGAGCTGCAAACGGTCCTGACATTGCAGTACTAAAGTTGACTGACTGTTCAGTATTGATAGACCCATTATTATCACTAAAATTGTGTTACGCCTATTTATCTATTGTGTGTGTTTGTGTATGTTTATGCCACAGAGGACAACTTGTGGGAGTAGGTTCTCTCCATTTTGTGGATTCTGGGGATTAAACTCAGGTTATCAGATGTGGTAGCAAGCACCTTTATTCCCTGAGCCATCTCACCAGCCCTCTTACACAAGTGTAGCTACACTCCCTCAGCTTTACCCTTCTATTCCTTTAGCTTTGTTTTCTTTTTTCTCTTCTGGTTCATTGGTTGTTCTGAGTTTTGTTTTTGTTTTTCAGACAGGGTCTCACATGTAGCCCAGGCAGACCTGGAGCTCACGATAATCCTCTAGACCCAGTCTCCCAAGTGCTTGGTTACAGGCATGTGCTATTATTACCTAATCCTGCCTTTCCTTTACAATTAATTAATTTTGTTTGGCTTTGCTTTTCCAGCAATTGAACCCAGGGCCTCGTACATGTTGGCAAGTGTTTCATTACTCCTGCTCATTTAATTGGCTTAGCTAGAAACAGCATTGGTCTCCATGTGGAATAAGTGCTACCATGGTGGTTCTTCAGGAGCCAGTATACCACAATGGGTATACTTGCCCTGTGTTTATTTATTTATTTATTTTGGTTTTTCGAGACAGGGTTTCTCAGTGGCTTTGGAGCCTGTCCTGGAACTAGCTCTGTAGACCAGGCTGGTCTCGAACTCACAGAGATCTGCCTGCCTCTGCCTCCCGAGTGCTGGGATTAAAGGAGTGCGCCACCACCGCCCGGCCTGTGTTTATTTTTTTTAAGGTTCTCTGATATCATGGTCTCTTAGCCCTTTAAAATAAGTAATTATAGTGGTCTTTCATTTAAAGACAATATGTGATACACATTTTTCTTGGCAGGTTTGTTAAGAAGTTAGAGCACTCTTGGAAAGCACTGGTACACGATGGGGTGAGTATAGCAGTTAGCTAAAGGCCTCCCCACATCTCGATTTCTTTTGTCCCCTCAAGTGTAGTCTATGTATTATTCATTTCTTATGTGTATTATTCATCTCATTTCTGGTAGGGTTTCAGTGTAAGGGAACAAGGTCCTTGGATGACACAGCCTCTTTCTGGGCCTTTCTGTTTAACTCTGTAGTCATCTCTTCTGTTCAACAGGACACAGTATCAGTGCATCGGCCAGGCTTCTATGCTGAGCGGTTCCAGCGCTTCATGTGCAACACAGTGTTCAAGAAGATTCCCTGTAAGTGGCTTCTACCAGATGACCCCTCAGTGGCTCCCTTACCCCAAGAGATGGTGGGCAGGACACCTCTGTCAGGGAGCTGCCAAGGCCAGAGGCCTCTCCTGCTCTGCCTACGTCCTGTGAGCGCTGCTTCTCGTCTTTGTGTCAGTCACTGTCTGTCCCAGTCGTTTCCGAGTTGCTGCTCCCCCTTGGCTCTCCCTACATGTATCGCTGAGGTGAGGGCCATTTCTGGGGATTGTGGGACTGGAAAAAAATGTGTAGCTGTCACTGTAGACTTTGTGACACAGGCTCGGGTGTCTAAAAACAGACTTTTGTGTAGAAAAGAACAGGCAAGGATGTTAGCAGTGTTCTTAACTTTCCTTCCATATGTCCAGGGCCCAGGAATTATCCGGTTAGTTCAAGTGGTTGAAGCCTTGTTGATGACTGTTGATGGAGTTTTTAGTCTTTCCCCTCCACTTTCTTGATACACAAGTACCAATTTTTTTTTTTTTTTCAAATTCTGTGTTTTGACACTGGCAGATTCAAGTCTTCCTCCTTTGCTGTCATCATAGGCATCAGCTGTCCCTTAGTGAGGTGAAGAAGGCGTAGACATCACAGACAGGCTGTGAGGCCCAGAATCAGAGTGAGCCCCAGGGTAAATCACAGTGCTGGGTGCATCAGGACTAGGAAGGGGTAGAGATGTGCTGTCTGTACTTTTATTGGGTGATGCTAGTAAAGAACAAGTCCACTCCATCAGTGAAGCTGAGCAGAAAGCTGTGTTCATGTCGCTTTGTCTTAAGTTTTCTGTTTCTTTCCAGAGTGAGGTGACTTGTCTCTTCTTCTCCTAGCAGTAGTACTCTATAGGCCACCTTTTCTGACATTAACCCGTTTTCTGCCTTTGCTTGAGAACTACTTTGTGTATGTGTTGGGGATACTAGCAGTTGTGTCTTGTCTGTCTTGGTGATGGTTTCTGAGGTGGGTGCTAAGTAGGCTCTTTCTTTCCCTTTTGAAGTGAAGCCTTCTCCTTCCAAAAAGTTTCGGTCTGGCTCGTCTTTCTCTCGGCGATCAGGCCCCAGCGGCAACTCCTGCATTACTTACCAGCCACCGGTCTCTGGGGAACACAAAGCACAAGTGACTACAAAGGCCGAAGTGGAGCCAGGTCAGCGCCAGGGCTGGGGTCCCCTTGCATTTGGACACTCCCTCCCTTCATCTGAGGTCTCATGTTCTCTGGCCAGGACTCTATTCCCCGTTTCTATGCAATAGAAACTAACTTGCTAACTTGTCTTGGTTTTTTGTTTTCTCCCCCTGAGACAGGGTTTTCTGTGTAGCCCTAGCTGTTCTGGAATTCACTCCATAGACCAGGCTGGTCTCAAACTCAGATCCTCCTGCCTCTGCCTCCCAAGTGCTGGGGCTAAAGGCATGCGCCACCATGCTCAGCTGTTTGTTTGTAGACGGGTTCTCACGGGTTCTCACTATGTTTGTAGCCAAGCTGACCTCAACCTCATAACCCTCCTTTCTCAGACTCCCAAGTACTGGAATTACAGGAATGCACCACCACGCCCCTCTAAATCACTACTTGTTTTCCCTGTATTTCCCTGACTACTATACTATCCTTTATTTATTGACTGATTTCTAGTTTATCGATTTTCTTTTTTCTCCAGATATACACCATGGGCGCCCTGATGTCTTACCTCAGACTCCACCTTTGGAAGAAATCAGTGAGGGCTCACCTGTTCCCGGTCCCAGTTTCTCACTTGTAGTTGGAGAGCCTTTGCAAACACTAAATTTGAGGTTGGTTTTTTTTTTTTTTTTTGGCCTGTTACTTTGTATAATCTCTCTCAGGTCCTCAGAAATTTTCATTTGGATGATTTTCAAGAGTCTGTGCTGGATGTTGTAGTGTGCTGGGGAGGCAGAGGCAGGTGGATCTCAGAGTTCAAAGCCAGCCAACCTAGTGAGTTCCAGGACAGCAAAGGCTACAGAGAAGCCCTGTCTTAAAACACACAAATAGAAAGGAGAGAGAGAGAAAGTTTATTGTTTGCTTGGTTGTTTTTGAGACAGTCTCACTGAATACGTGCTTATCTCAGATGGGCGATCCTTCTGTATAATCAGTCTCCTATGTCCTGGGGTTACAGTCAAGCATTCAAGAGGCTAGTAGAATAATCATGACAATTTTGTCACCTAGTTTGTTATCTTTTACATCATAATAAATTACTCCTATACTTTATGACTTAAAATAAGAAACATAACTGGGCCGGGCAGTGGTGGCACACGCCTTTAATCCCAGCACTCGGGAGGCAGAGGCAGGCGAATCTCTGTGAGTTCGAGGCCAGCCTGGTCTACAAGAGCTAGTTCCAGGACAGGAACCAAAAGATACGGAGAAACCCTGTCTTGAAAATCCAAAAAGAAAAAAAAAAAGAAAAGAAAAAGGAACATAACTGGGTATTCTGGGGCAGAAAGATTTCTGAGTTCAAGGCCAGCCAGCATTATAGAGTGAGACCCTGCCCCACCAAAACCCCACAACTTTTATAAGAAAATTTTAACTCTGTGTGTGTGCGTGCGTGTTTGTTTGGGTAGCAGCCTCTAGTAGTCTCTTGGTGTTGCTCTGTCTCAGGACTTCTTGGTAAGTTAGCTCTGTTTCTGCTGGTAGAATTCTAGGAAAGAGTCATTCCTTCTTGTGACTCTTACTAGGTTTACTCCATTAGATAAAAGCCTTGTTCACAAATAGCTTTTTTTCTTCTCTTTTTTTTTCTAATTATTTTTCCCTTTATTTTATGTGTATGAGTATTTTTTTCTCCATGTATATCTGTGTATCATATGCCAGGTGCCACAGGGACTAGCATTGGCTCGCTTGGAACTGGAGTTCCAGGTGGTTGTGAGTTGGATGCATGCTAGGAACTGAACTCAGGTCCTATGCCAGAGCAGTAAGTTAGCCATCTCTGCAGTCCACAGCTGCCTTCCTCATATGCCCTATGCTTTTAGGGTTAAAATGTCTGAGATAATACTGCAGCTTCTGTTTGTTTTTCTTAGTGGTACTTGAAGATAGAACCTAAGACTTTATACATGCTAGTTACATCATCTCACTCTTTGTTTTGTTGTTTTAGAAAAAGTCTCAACCTATGGAACTTTGACTAGCCTGGAATTTGCTGTGTAGATAGGGTGTTATGGGATTGCCCTGCTATTGGCTGAATGAATCCCACAACACAGGATGGCTACTACAACTCACAGTTCCACCTGCCTCAGTCTCCTCGGTGTTAGGGTTAAAGACATAGACTACCTTGCCAGACTTACGCCTTTATTTTTGAATTTAAATTTTTTTCACATGTGTTTTTTTTTTTTTTTTTTTTTTTTTTTTGTGGGGTAGAGGGCACACATATGCCATATTGTGTATATTGGAGAACAGCCTTCCATGTAGGTTCCAGGGACCAGACTTGGATTATCAGGCTTGGTGGTAAACACTTTAACTGAGCGTTTAACCAGCCTTATTTATTGGCTTTTGAGATGTCTGACTCTGTAACCTAAGCTGGCCTTATGCTTACAGCAACCTTCCCAGTACCAGTATTGCAGTGTGAGGCACGGTAGACAAGGGGGACAAGCACCTTTGCCTCTGGGCTCCATTATTACACACTGGATTGCTACATTAGAGGTTTCTGTTAGGAAACACTACATAGGAATTTGTATTATATATTAATACAAATTATGTATTAACATGATAAATTACTCCAAAACCTAGCAGTTAGAAATAAACATTGTTGGGGCTGGAGAGATTTCTCTGAGGTTAAGAGCACTGGCTTCTCTTCCAGAAGTCCCAAGTTCAATTCCCAGCACCCACCTGGTGGCTCACAGCCCTCTAGTGAAATCTGGTGTGCAGGCAGACATGCACACAGACCACTGTATACATAAAAATAAATAATAAAAGAAGTAACATTGTTGACTTGTTTTCTGTGGGTCAGGAGTTTAGGTGTACGGGGGCTCTTTAGTGGTTACTGTGAAACTCTTAGACGGTCAGTTGTCTCAACTAAGCCGTTCCCTCAGTTCTGGGCGATGAACCCAGTGACAACATTTAACGAGCGCGTGAGGTGCTGTGCTCATCTCCAGCGCCACATGAAAGGACAGCGAGGTAGGGAGCTCTCAGGCCCAGCACTAGGGAGCTGACGTGGGGCTATCACGAGGTCAGCCTGCATGGACTACGTACAGATTGCCAAGGTAATCCTGCCCCAAAAAACCAGAAGTTTGATCAGGTGTTGTCGCAAACCTTTAATCACAGCATTCGGGAGACAGAGGCAGGCGGATCTCTGATTTTGAGGCCAAAGTGGTCTACAAGGTAGACCCCAGAGGCTAACAAACAAACAAAAAAACTAGACAAACCCTGTCTTGGGAAATTCCCCCCCCCAAAAAAACAAACAAAAACAAACAAAAAAACTTTGGCAACGGATGGGGGTGGTAAGGCAAGGATCATCTTACAAGCTCGGTTAATATGGCTAATTCTTTCAAGGCTGTTGAACTGGGTGCTCAATTCATTACAGACTCTTGGCCAGTGGTACTTACTCCTTAGTTGCTTGTTGTTTCCTTTCTATAGCTAGCTTTCTTCAGAGCAAACAAAGAAAACCTTCATTCAAGAAGCAGCCACTTAGCTGGCCAGTGTTGGTCCTTTAATCCCAGCACTAGGGAGGCAGAGGCAAGTGGATCTATCTCTGAGTTCAAGGTCGGCCTAGTCTACAGAGAGAGTTCTGGGACAGCCAGAGAAACCCTGTCTCAAAAGAACAAGCCACCATATTCTTTTTTAACTTAGCCTCAGAACTGACATTTTTTGTACCTCTGCTGCATCGTATTGTAAAAGAAAGTCTCTGAGTGCAGCTCACAGTAGAGACAGGAGACAGGTCAGGAAGCAGATAGTTCTGGGAGCAGCTTTGGAGATCACCTTCCACCATGTGGACAGAAGGGAAAATGGGGTCAGTGGAAGTGCTTTAGAGTAGTACTACTGTAGCCAGGCCAGTGGCACATGCCTGTAATTGTAGCCCGTGGGAAAGGGAAGTAGGAGAATCAGGAGTTTAAATCTCCCTCAGCTACATAGAGACCATGTCTGAAAAAACAAACAAAAAACCTAATTAAAACAATAATACTTAGAAATGTATTAGCTTCAGGCCAGTGGAATGGCTTAGCCTCTAAAGGTGTTTGCCTTCAGGCCTAATGAGAGTTTGACCTTCAAAACCCACTTGGTGTGAAGCGAACTGATTTTGTGGCTTGTCCTCTGACACAACACTACCCCCCCCCCCCCCCCCCATGCTGTGGCGTGTTCTCTCTCTCCAAATGCAAACAGTTTTTAATCTCATAACTTCTTTTTTGTTTGTCATTTTGTAGTGCTAGTGATTGAATTTAGAGCCTGTTTATATTAGGCACTAAGCATTATACCACCATGCTCAACCCAAAGCTCTCTTTGTGTGTTTGAGTTTTTAGATAATAACTAGACTGCTAAGATTCATTTGCCTCTGCCTCCTCCATGCTGGGGTTAAAGGTATTTGCTACCACCTTTGACTTTGAATCTTGAAACAGTATTTCATAAGGTTGCCTGGAATAGCCTTGAAGTCACTCTGTAGCCACATAGACCTTGAGCTAGCAATCCTCCAAGTAACTGGAATTGTGTGCATGTACCACTGTGCCTGGCTTAAGTTTAGTAGCTTCTTAGGTCTTCTTTTCTCTGGCATTAGTCAATCCTTCCACTGTGGTGTGGGTTCCATGCATCAACACAGTGCTGCCGGGCTTGAGCAGCAGGCTCCTTTTATGAACTGAACCATCTCTTTAGTTGTGTTTTGTGAATCTTAAAAGACATATGAAGAGGCAATATAATTGAGATTGGATGTGCTGAGGGTGGAAGCCAGGGTTTTACATGCTGTACTTGAGTACACCCACAACCCCCTTTGTCTTCTTTTTTTTTTTTTTTTTTAAATATTTATTTATTTATTATATATATACAATATTCTGTCTTGTGTATGTCTGCAGGCCAGAAGAGGGCACCAGACCCCATTACAGATGGTTGTGAGCCACCATGTGGTTGCTGGGAATTGAACTCAGGACCTTTGGAAGAGCAGGCAATGCTCTTAACCTCTGAGCCATCTCTCCAGCCCCCCCCCCCTTGTCTTCTAATTCTCTGCCTTTTCTCTTTTTCTCTTGTTAGTTCAACCTTGGAAAAGCTTGAAGTTGCAGAGTCAGAGTTCACTCATGTGAGTACCTGGGGTCTATGGAAAGCGATTGCATGCAGGGTATAAAGTGGATCACTGATGGAGCAGAGCAAAAAGTTGATTGGGAAATATTGGTATACCCTTGAACCTTGCTTTTAAAAGGCTTTGTGATCAGGCATGATGGTACATACCTTTAATTCCAGTACTTGGAAGACAGAATTTAAGGCCAGCCTATCTTTCCAGGCCAGCCAAGGCTATATAGTGAGATTCTGTCTCCCCAAAATAAAAAGGGTTGTGGTTTTAAAACCTCATACTTGGAGCAGGGCCTGGTAGCGAACACCTTTAGTCCTAGCACTTAGGAGGCAGAGGCAGGTGGATCTCTGTGAGTTCAGGGACAGCCTGATTTTATAGAGTGAGTTCTAGGAAGGCCAGAGTTACACAGAGAAACACTGTGTCAAAAAAACCAAAAGCAAAACAAATAACAAAAACCAAAAACAACTTCATACTTTGGAAGTGGAAACTAAAAAGAAAAGGAAAAAAGTCAATTTTCTAGTTAAGACAAAACAAACTTGATTTTGTTCCTGCCTCCGTGTCTCATGTTTCATGGTCAACTTCACATTCTTTCTCTTTTCAGTGAGCAGTGAGCCTGAGAAGACCTGAAACGAGATTCTACTATCACTTTGATACCAAGATGTCAGCCCTTGCCCCAGGAATGCTGAGTCGTCTTCTTGGTCATCAAAAGAGGAGAGAAGTGTGGAGCTAGCAGGGCTCTCCAGCACAGTTCTCCCCTTCCTCTGGGCATTAGTGCCTTTGACAGTTGAGGACAGCAGTGTCCCCACCGCTCCAGAATTGGGTGACATGAATTTTCCCCGGGCCAGCCATGGCCTATGTAACTGAATATTTTTCACACCCCATTCTCTGTATGGAGGTGGGGCTGCTGGACGAGGTGGTTTCCTTCTCTTCACCTTTCTCCTGGAGCTGGACTCTTACTTCCTCAGGACAGACTAGCTGGACATGGTTCCACCTTCGCTCTTCCCTCTGGTCTTCGAGAAGACCCCAGTGATTTTTTTTAAAGGCTTTTTGGGGGAGATCCTACTCCCAGCCTTCTTTCTTCCTCACAAAAGGAAAAGAACAAACAGCACATGTTGTAAATTCAAGTCAGTCTCAGATAAAAGTTGTAGAAGTGTTGAGAAAAGCCCTAGTGTTTGAAGTAGAAAAGCTGTGCCCCGCCAGCAGCTGCTCTCCTCCCACACTTAGGGCCAAGGGAGCGGTGAGGGGCATGGCCCCTTGTACCCTTTGTTAAACAATGGGGCAGCCTTGTTAGGAGAGTAGACCTTCTCAGCAGGGCTCTACTCACTGCCAGGTCATACAGTTATTACTATTTTGCAATTTGGAATGTATTCTAATAGTTTTTCTAAATATAAAGAATTATCAAATGATTTTAGACCATTCTCCAAAGGAGATTTCTTTGTCCTTCCCTTATTTCCAACAGTATTCTGCTCTTTGTGGAGCTCTGGTGGAGGGGGACATTTGTGTCTGTGTAACAGGCAGTCCGTATCTATGAGGTTAGAGAATATTTTCTTAAACTCCTGGGGAGCCACAGACTTCCCTCAGTAGGGTGATCGCCATGTCACCTGACCTGCCCCTTGCTTTGTTAGAGAGCTGGAAGTGGGGTCTCACAAACCCTCTCCTCTCCGGCCCGGCCTGTGGGGCGGTGCATGGTGTTGCAGGCAGGCTGTTGAAATCCCACGTTGTTACTTTTCCAGTCCGTCCTACCTTGATATCAAGTTAGCCTACCCCTAAGTAACTGTCTATATTAGACACCCCCAGCCAGTTTCTGGCTGCCTGTCTTTGCTGCCATGTTCTTTTTTACAAGAAGGAAAGAAACAATTCTTGCTATTTTTTTTCATAATTTACTATTTATGATGTATTTAAGTGTTGTATTCAGGACAAAGTTCTGTAAGGGGTGGGAGGGAATATTTGAGGGAGGGCTTGGATTAGGAAAAGGACATGGGGTGTCAACATTTTTATGGAGTGTTACTATTTGTCTCTTCTTTGTATTGTTGAAAATGACAAATGCGATATAAAGGAATAAATACCTGGTTTTCATGTATTAAAATTCTATCAAATACTTGACCCATTTTTAAATATTTTGACTACCCTGATAATGATGGTTTTATTACATTTTCATGCATGTACATAGTGTGCATGATCGTTCTCACCTCCCTTGTTGCCCTGTCTTTAGAGCTGTTTGTTATGGGATTAGTTGTTGGTGCTAGGGCTAAACCCAAGGAGAAAGAACTTGTGCCTGATTGCGGAGCTGCACCCCAGCCTTCTTGGATCTTTTCCACATCCACTCTGCTCCAGCCTTCTCCTCCACCCAGGCTCAGTTTGTGTTAGCATGAACAAAATCTTCACCCAGCCTTCCCATCCTTCAGCTGAAGTATGATTCAAGCTGAGAGCAGTGGCTTCGGTTCCCAACTGCAATAGTTTAAACTTGAAGAACTCTTGAGTAGATTGTAACTCAGTCTATTAACTCAAGGATTTGAGATTCTTTGTTTTTTTGTTTTTTTGTTTTTTTTTTTTTTTTTGAGACAGGGTTTCTCTGTGTTATTTTGGAGCCTGTCCTGGCTCTTGCTCTGTAGACCAGGCTGACCTCGAATTCACAGATCCTCCTGCCTCTGCCTCTCAAGTGCTGGGATTAAAGGTGCGGAAAGGTATGCACCACCGCTGCCTGGCTAAAGGCTTCTTTTTTTTTTCTGGGGCCAGAAAGAGGATTGTGGTTAAGAGCACTTGCTGGTTTAGTTCCTAGCGCAGACAAGGAGCCTCACAACCCTCTTTAACTCCAGTTCCAGAGGATCTGATACCCTCTTAGCTCTGTAGATACCAAGCACATATGATGCACATATATGCATGCAGGCAAACACTTAAACTTTTTTTTTAAAGATTTATTGTATATACAGTATTCTGTACTACATGTGTCCTTGCAAACCAGAAGAGGACACCAGATCTCATTACAGATGGTTGTGAGCCACCATGTGGTTGCTGGGAATTGAACTCAGGACCTGGATGAGCAGTCAGTGCCCTATGGCGCTGAGCCATCTCTCCAGCCCCCTCCCCCCCTTAAAGATAATTGTATAAACTTTTGTTATGCTCTTCAGTAGGAAACTAGACTGGTGATCTGGGCTCGTTTTAATGCCTGAAGATGGGGAAGCTTTAGAATCAGATTTTGTGTGTGTGTTTGCATGTTTGCACAAATGTACAGGTTGCGTGTGTGTGGAAGCCAGAGTACAGCCTTTGAAGGCAGAGTGTATCTCGGACTCAGCCCTGGGGCCCGAGTCACAAACTAAGAAAATGACACCCGGGAGCCTGCTGTGTTAGCACGCTCGCCAAATTTATAGGAAAACTTTAGCCTGAGGCGAACACGCCCCCTAAGGGGTGGGACTTATCCCTACAAGCCTTGAGTAGTCCTTTCCCAGAAGTGGTGTCCACTGTATTTTGTAAGATGTGGTCTCTCATTGACCTAGAAGTCACCAGAGTAGGCAGTCTTGCTGGCCAGTGGGCGCCAGGAATCCCCATCTCAGTCTCTTACCAGTGCTGGGATTAATTACAAGTGTGCATCACTGTGCCTGCCTTCTGTATATCGAGTTCTTGTGCTTGTATGGCAAGTACTTCCTGACTGAGTTGTCTTGCCAGCCTAGAGAAGCAAGTCAACTAAACATTGTTCTTTTCCATACCAGTGTTCCCTGTTCTGTGAAGATCATTTAGAATCATGTCTGTACAAGGTTTAGGAAGCACTGGTTGAGAGGAGCGCAGCAGAGTCTCTAGGCAAGGTGGTAGCATGCGTCCAGGAAAGCTGCAAGCAGCAGTAGTAGCTGTGAGATGAGGTGGCTAAGGAAGCGGTGGAGAGGGCCAACCAGTTAGTGTGAAAGCTGGAGACGGAATTATCCCAGAGTGTGGAGGTGGTTCTAGGTCACAAGGACATTATTGGAGAATATGGGGACTGAAGTCACTGTTGAAATGGGATCACATGAAGCTGCTCATCCTACTGGTATTCTGAATTATATCATCATGTAAATAATTTCCATAATAAATTGATGACACCTAAAGTAATGATTTTAAAAAAAAAAAAAAGGTTATTACAAACACTTGTAGCAGCTCCTGAGCAACTAATGAGACGGGGAGATCAAAAGACGTAAAGTGGCCATCAAGAGTTAAAGTGTCCAGGAGTAAAACACAAAGTCATTAGCTGTGATACAGCAAGGGACGTAAGTACTGTGAGTGATAGTCAGCAAATAGTGGGTGTTGGACAGCCTGAAAATATAGCTCTCCAATGAGTATCAAGCCTGAAGCCCTGGTACAGCATAAAGGCTGTGGTTATACACCTGTATCCCATCATTCAGGACATGGAAGGAGAAGGATCAGAAGTTCTTGATCCTCTGACTGTATAGCAAGTTTGTGGTCAGCCTGTGCTGATTTTTTTAGGAAGGATTAATAGCAATTATCCCAAAAGCAATATAATTAACCTTATAAAGAGAACTACTTGGATTCTTCCCCCAATTGAGCATGATGTACCAATAACTGAAGCCCTTACATTTTATACCGATGCAAATAGGAAAGGCAGGTTACAAATCAGAAGATTTAAGGTGGAACAAAGCCCTTATGATTATGTCTAAAAGGCAGAATTTTATGCTATTCTCACAGTAGTACTAAGAGATTTTAAAGAACCTCTCGATATAGTTACTCATTTGCAATATACAGAGTTGTCTTGCATATTGAAACCACTGAATTTATACCAGATGATACAGAATTGACTTCATTATTCATTCAGGTTCAAGATATAATCAGGAATAGGCTTTGTCCCATATACATAACACACATGCCATCCCATACGGGTCTGCCTGGTCCTCTAGCACAGAAATTGACCAACTGTGTGATTATTTTGGGACTAAGTAGCCAGAACTGAAATAATCACACAAAAACTATTAAGTCACTGCTTGGTTCATTAGCTCTAGCTTCTTATTAGCTAAATCTTACATAATTTAACCCATTTCTCTTAATCTGTGTATTGCCACACAGCTGTGGCTTACTGGCTAAAGTTCCAGCATCTGTCTCCAGCAGGGCTACATGGCTTTTCCCTCACTCCTACATCTTTTCCCCAGCATTCCATTTAGTTTTCCTCACCTAGCTCTGTTCTCCTATAGCTCTGCTACAGGCCCAAAGCAGTTTCTTTATTCATTAATGGTAATCACAGCATATAGAGGGGACTCCCATATCCCCTTTTCTGTTTAAATAAAAAAGATTTTAACTTTAACATAGTAAAATTACATGTAATAAAACAGGTATCAAGCAAGAATTACAGTTATACTATTTATATCTACTTTGTCTTTTACCATAACTAAGGAAAACTATAACTATAAATTCTTCAACTCCATCAAAGACTCCAGGATATAATATTACCTAAGTAAACAGAAACTGCATTGTAAGCAACTTCCAAAACTCTAGATTTGACAGAGATATCTTGCTGCCTGGACAGTCACCCAAAGTTCTGTATTGTTGGGGCATCCATCTTTCAGCCTACGGTCCCATAGTATCAAGCAGACTTTTCCAGAGTTACGCATGGCATCTTGGTAGCCAGCATTTTGCTGGTGGCTCCATTAAGAGATGTTTTCCTGATTCACCAGTAGCAGGAAAACAGCATTGTTTTTAAAATTCCGGCTTTCTGGGCCATGTTGCCAGCACGAACTCTTGACTCTTTCTGGAGGTCCAGCTACAGAGCATTTGAGTGGGATCTGTGAGCAGACTGGTACAACTTGCTTAATAGCAACATAGACCAACTGTGCCTAGAAACGGCACATGGCTCTCGGAGGCAGCAAGCAGCTCCACCATGCTGGACTGGGCAAGGCAAGCAGGAAGTAACTAAGCAATGGCACTGCTTAAGTTTTTAAAAAGCACTTCTGGACAGTAAAGGATTACAGATACACAATAGGACAAATTCAGATATGAAAGACCTTTAAATGGGTCACAGAGTTGGATAAATATATAGGCTTGGGAGAGAGAAGAAGAAGAGTATAGAGAGTTATAAAAATAAATGGTTTAAAAACAGTCTTTAAAGAGACAGAGTACATACAGTCACAGATTAAAGGGAAAAAGATAATAAATATTAAAAAGTAATAGAGTAAAAATACATAAGCCACGTAAAGATGGAATATACACAGAGAGTCTGGATTAAGTGAATTATTGTGTCTGAATTTTTTTGACTGAAGAGCTAAGTATGGAGGGACATTTCATTGTATGGGCTGCTAAGCTAAACCAGCATGTATATTATAAAGGTATTTTGTTTTTAAAATTTGAGTCTAAGGATATGTTGCTTTGGAAAAGAGGTTTTTTGTTTCCACAGAGGGTGAGAACCTGTGGAATCTTCCCAGACTAAAGTGGTTTGATGGACAAAGACCCCCTGAAAGGTTTGAACACCCCTCAAAAAATTACTTCGCCCAATTAAAAGCAAGAAGCAATTTAGAGAAGAGCTATGCCCATATTCTCAAATATTGTTTATAATATTTTACATTTAAAGGGGGATATGCTATAAAGATTTGCATGGGTATGGATCTTGATTTATTGATACAAATTTAAGGTCAATTTTGTTAAACTGTGTATATACACACACACACACAGATATTGTGCTTGTGCAGTTCATTTAAAAATGTATAATTAAGAAATATAGATATGGAACTGAATAGAAGACCTGGATATCAATTCACACATCTTTGAATATCTGATCTTTGATAAAGAAGCAAAAAAATATCAAATGGAAAAAAGAAAGCATATTTAACAAGTGGTGCTGGCATAACTGGATATCAACATGTAGAAGAATGAAAATAGAGTCATATCTATCACCATGCACAAAACTCAAGTCCCAGATGGATCAAAGACCTCAACATAAAGCCAGCCACACTGAACCTTATAGAAGAGAAAGTGGGAAGCACACTTGAACGCATTGGCACGGGGAACCACTTCCTAAATATAACCCTAGTAGCACAGACACTGAGAGAAACAATTAACAAATGTGACCTCCTGAAACAGAAATGCCTCTGTAAAGCAAA